ATTCAAGCCGCCAAATTTTACGAACGCACATCGCGTCAAAATTTTCGATACCATCCTCACCATCTGGATCCTTGGCGGTCCACGACTGTGCGTTTTACTAGGAGTTTTCTTCCTTGTACAACTTCTCTTTGGAATTGTTTACCACCGGCGATTTCCGGACCGATGCGACTTATGAACCTTCAAGAAAAGAGCTTACACCTTTCTAAAAGGCCGGCAACGCATCTGAAATTCCCCTGGTGTTGCGGTTGTTGTTGTAGCACTTACCATCAGGAGAGCCGCATGCTCTTTTGCTTCCTCTTCTATAAAAAACACTATCTCTGGACATTTAGGGACTCACACAGATTACGCAAGGAGATTGATTATGTTTAACCTCAAGCAAAATAACACTAACTAAGGCGTCCTTTCGACCAGTCGTCATCCCCTATGATGACTTGAACCGGACAACTGTCACTGCATACAAACTAAAGTAAACAAATGAAAGTTACCGAAAAACTGCTGGACGCGGGGTTAGTATGCTCACGCTTCGACACGGCCATCTTGACGTTTCACTCGTCCTCCTGTGGTATAAGAGTAGTAAGAGGAAAGGGATTGCCGCCGTAAAAGTGCATCCGCTCGGTCAACCTGACTACAAATAAACGAACCGTAATTCCGAAATATTATAGGCAGTTAAAGTTCATAACTTCTAGCAAAACAAAGATCTCCAACAACATCAAAAGAACATTGGAGTACAAAATTTAATTGACACAACGTAAATTACCCTGTCGAACAGAACTTTAGAAACAGTAAGGTTCAGCGTTCAATTTGTTCAGTCAGTCATTCTGCACTTGGGTTTTGTAGACTTCGGACGTGTCGGTCGATTTCACTCCCGTCACTCCCGTCACTCCATTCTCATTGCTCCTGCACAAAATATATGTTAAAATTAACTCTCGTTATACATCGCCATGCATCCAAATGCATGCGGCGGGACTTACGCAACTTCAATACAGCTCGTATTGAAGAAGCAATCGAGCGGAACCAAGGCTCCAAAGTCTTTGCCAGAGATCTGTCTGCCAGAAACAGCCAACTGTCAAAGCTGAAGACAGAATGTGGCAGCATCGTTTCCGGGACACCTGAGATTTTGAGTGAGATTGAGAGGTTCTATGGGCAGCTGTACACGTCATCGTTGGAGCCACACGCAAGTGTGAGTAACGATCCAAGATCGTTACTCACACTGTCTTATCCGACATTATTCCGATGATATCCCGGACGTCAGTCTGAGCAAGATTAGAATGGCTCTCCAGCACCTTAAAAACGGCAAGGCCCCAGGCGAGGATGGAATTACAGCGGAGCTTCTGAAAGCGGGTGGAAAACCGGTACTTGAAGTCCTTCAGAGGCTCTTTAATTCCGTTCTCCATGGTGGCATTACACCGGAGGCGTGGAGCAGAAGTGCGGTGGTCTTGTTCTTCAAGAAAGGCGACATTGCTCTCTTGAAGAACTACAGACCGATTTCCCTTCTGAGCCGCGTCTACGTGCTGTTTTCGAGTCATTACGAATCGTCTCGCGCGCAGACTTGACGACTTCCAGCCTCCCGAACAAGCCGGTTTCCGAAAAGGCTTTAGCACCATAGACCACATACATACCCTTCGGCAAATTGTACAGAAGTCAGAGGAGTACAATTTGCCACTATGTCTGGCGTATGTGGACTATGAGAAAGCCTTTGATTCCGTCGAAATTTGGGCGGTACTGCAGTCCCTTCAGCGGTGCCAAGTTGACTGTTGGCATATCGAAGTGCTGAATTGCTTGTACAATAGGGCCACGATGGATATCCGAGTACAGAACCAGAGTACGAAACCTATCCAATTGCAGAGAGGTGTAAGACAGGGTGACGTCATATCCCCGAAACTCTTCACCGCTGCATTGGAAGACGTTTTCAAGCTTCTGGACTGGAAAGGATACGGTATCAACATCCTGATGATGTGATGTCCTTGCCATTACTCACCTTCGATTTGCCGACGATATAGTCCTTATGGCAGAATCGCTGGCGGACCTAAGCACTATGCTCAATGACCTCAATAGTGCTTCCCAACGGATAGGTCTTAAGATGAACATGGACAAAACAAAGATCATGTTTAATGTCCATGTCACACCTATGCCGGTAGTTTTTGGGAGCACTAAGCTCGAAGTTGTTGACGGGTATGTTAACCTGGGACAAATAGTATACCTCAAAACTTGAAAACGAGACTGTACAACTAGTGCGTATTGCCAGTGGTGACATACGGAACTGAGACGTGGTCCTTCACTGCTGTCCGGATGAGGAAACTCAAGGTCGCTCAGCGATCTATGGAGAGGGCTATGCTCGGAGTTTCTCTGCGTGATAAACTCTGAAATGAGAATATCCTCAGTAGAACCAGAGTGACCGACATAGCCCAACGGATTAGTAAGCTGAAGTGGCAATGGGGCGGCCATATAGCTCGAAGAACCGAAAACCGATGGGGAAGAAAGGTTCTCGAGTGGCAGCCTCGTACCGGCAGGCGAAGCGTTGGGCGTCCCCCCACTAGATGGAGTGACGACCTGGTGAGTCGTGAACGTCGGTGAACGTCCGGCGCATCTGCAACCTAACGGGGCATTGCAGTTAAAGCCTCCCGACATAGGGGCGTCGTTGGCCAATGGCACCGATGGCAATTGTACGGCCACTCTGCCAAACATTGTAACGCCAGGCCTAGGTGCCTCAAGTGCCTAGGTGACCACGGCACCATTGAATGCCCCCGCACATCCTAGACGGTAGAACGCCGAGTTGCGTCAATTGCCGCAAAGAGGGGCACCCAGCGAATTATCGAGGTTGTTCCAAAGCGCCGCGAAGGAAGCAGCGCGGAGGTAGAAATTTTCCCGGACGCGTGGGTCAAGCCGGTGTGTCACGCTCTCGGCAGCCTGCCCCCAAACCCGCATCGTCTTTGGTGCCCATGTCCTTGCCTCAAGTTGCCACCAAGCCCACCCGGGGCGGCCGAGCAAGGTGCTATTATTCCCGCGCCTTCCGCGCCAAAACCCAACACTAGGGTGAAACTGCCGGCACTAGTACCTCACGGCTGGTGCACCCTTCCCAGACCCCAAAACCGAAACCTGTCCCACAAGGCTCTTCCTCTTTCGCCTCCGAATTCTCGCTAGTCTGCGGCTTCATCAGCAACATCAACGTTACGGAGTTATCCCCCTTGGCTCGCAAACTCCCCGGAGCCAATTCACCTCAAGACAAGCTCAACGCTATGATTGAGGACTTATCGACGCAATCTGGTCTTTCCATTGCGCCTACACACCTCCTCTAAATACCAGAACAGCAGCGCAAAATCTCGGTAGAACTAAACGACGCTCTTTGACTGTCGCGTTCTTTAACGCGAACGGCCTCAGAGACCAAAAAGATGAAATCGCGCTCTTCCTGCGCAACTACGATGTAGACGTAATGTTAGTGCAAGAGACTTTTTTGAAACCTAGCCACCCTGATCCTAAGATCTCAGTTCAGATCAGAAGCCGTAAGTTCAATGAAGCTGTAAGAGCCGCATAGGCTAACAGCATTAACATCACAGAAACTAGACTATCAGTTAAGTAAAATTAAAAAGTTAACGAGTAATAGTCAACCAACTTATAAAATGCACTTGGATTAGCAAAAATTTCGTTACAACTCCATAGAAAATGACCTAAAATTAGCTGCATTATAAATTATTGTTTTTTGTTATTGTAAACTGTAAAAAATAAACATTTTAAGAAGAAACGACATATATGCATTACTACTATAGCTTTACTTTTTAATTTGCGGGATAGGCAGGAAGGATCTTTCTTACTTACTACTTTCACTTATTTTTTGTTGGAAGTTGTTGTAGGCCTCATTCAAAGTAATCATACAATAATATAGCCTTATACAGTTTCATTCGTTACACTCTTGGTTTACGCGAGCGACCTCAGAATGATTTAGGGCAGTGTTGATTTACGTGAAGGTTCGTTACGGTCATATATGTATATCTAAGGGTGGTACTGCCGGGAATATATAGATAGATAGTACACTATGATCATCTTTGTAATTACTTGGCATGTGAATGATTTGATGAAAATTGCATTATTTTCAAAAAAGATTTTTTTTTCATACCACTCGCTATAAGTCTGATTTCAAATAAAGTCCTTCAGTCACCAGACAAGCCGATAACTCACATATAACACTAATTATCAAGAAAGCCCCCGTATTGTGACGGGCAACTAAGGAACCCTACCTCTTCATTGTGCGTGGCCCGACACGCACTTCGCCAGTTTTTTTTTTTAAATTATATTGAGTTCATTGTTTTTATGACAAAATTTTTATTTTCTCAGGTTTTCTGACGCTATTTTTACAGCCAAAATCTAGATAAATCAGCACTAAGAATACTATGTCATGCTATAATATTATATAGAAACAAGCAATCCGCCCCGGGCTACGCTCGGTTGATTTCTGGATCTCGACATCATCGTAACCTGCCTCAGATATAATATCAGGATTCATAATTATGTGTGATAAAAAGTGTAGTCATGACCATAGTCATTTCAATACATACACGTACTAATTGTTCCAGCAGGTGTTGCTCAGTCCATTCCCGTTACATGGCGCGATACGTTTCCTTCAGAATTCCCTCCGGACATTTTACAGAGTAGACATAAAATTTATTAATAATTCGACCACAGCCCAACCTATCGTGTTCAGATTTTATGATTTTTGGTACTAAAACGTACACTGTAACTATGAGTTATTTTGATCTATTGAAATAAAAATTGGTAGGTAATAAATTGACTGTAGTGCCAATTTTGCACACAACCATCGCTCGACAAAACAAATATAGTTGGGGAATATGACCTCAATCAGTTAAGACGTTCATAAGTTACCAATATGATCACTAACAGATGATTACAAATTTTATATTTACACATTATACAAGATTTCGAAAATCCATAAATATAACATTTTATACGTTGCATAATATAATTAGTGAATTAAGCTGCATACTTACCCAGAGTTAACTGAATTATCTACTTCAGGCCAAGAGAGACGCCTTTTACAAAAAGCCATTGTTGGTCTCTCTGGAGGTTGTTGCTGTCGTGGTGTACGCAGCGAGCCACCACGTCGTTGCGGAGCAATGGGAGCCAAGCAGTCGAGCGTTCGACGACGTGCACTTAGGGCTGATACCCCTTCAGTTGGTAGCACGCGCGGATATCCTGACATATAGACAACTATTAGACTTGAAGACTTGAAAATAACATATATAAAAATTTTACTGGATAAGTAAAATTAACCTTAATATATAAATAAATTACTACCAAAGACCCAGTTGATATACTTTTTTATAAAATTGAAGTTATAAATGAACTTATATCTGATAGTAAGTGGTTATAGCTGACCATGGACACTTGAAACAAACTTTAAATAATGAATCTCTGAGGAGTAAGATGGAATGTCTAACAGCCTATAAATATACTGGCTCTCTATAATCCTCAGGCCGAACTATAGCAGTGCATATTCTATTTGGTGGCGGGAATAAGTTACGTGAGTGTAATACGGTCACCTTAAGCTATATCGCCCTATAAAACTAAAACTAGGAGGAGGACAGAGACAAGTTTGAACAAAGTGCAAAGTTACAGCTATATTTATTAGATAGTTGTAGCACGAATGGGTCGGCTCGACCGGGAAAGGACCACGCTCTCACAAAATACCAGCGTAAAATAGCAGCTTCATGGTGCTGTGCTTCGCATGGTGAGTGTAGAAAACCGGGGACCCTTTTTAATGGAAAAGAGGCATTCCATCTTAGTCGTCACAGGTGGCAACGCATCTGCATTTTGATTCGCAAACGAGGATAGATGTAGATGTCTATGGCACAGCAAACACTTACCATCAGGTAAGTGTTTGCTGTGGCCCATAGACATCTACCCTATCCTATAAAAAAAAACCAAAGGAATATCACTTGTCACCCTATCCTATAAAAAAAAAACCAAAGGAAAGATGGAACTATAACTGATGTATACTATAACTAATATATTAAGAAAAATTAGCAAACAAGCTTTGGCAACAATTAGGAACTCTCCTAAAAATCAAAAAAAAACAAAATACACCACATAATACTAAAATCGACTAAAATATTTACCATAATGTCAACTGTCATAATGGCGTCGATAAAGCAGCGCCTTTTTGACCCATTATTATTTCACTGACTTATCAACGGCTATCGTATCACAGAGCCTTCTATGCAAACAAGGCTGTAGTTTTTGAGTTATAAGAAAGTGACCATATTAACCGGATGTACCATATTATCCTCACGTACTATATTAATTTATTACTTATATTCAATATATTACTTATATTGAACTTCAGAATTAGTAATAATGACTTTCACTATTATTTATGGTAAAATGATCCATACCGTGGTAAACAATCGTTTGATTTTCTGCCGACTTCCAAAAAGGAGACGGTACTCAATTCGATTGTATGTTTTTTTTGTGTATTGTGAGGTAACCTCATAACTTTTTATTGGGTGAACCTATTTCGATAATTCGTTTTTTATTTGAAAGCTAATACTTCTCGTGTGGTCCCATATGAATTTGACATTGATCGAGGTCAGACCAATAGTAATTGAGTAACTTATATTAAAGTCGGCTGTACAAAATTTTTAATTTTAAATTATATTAATGTATTATTAGTGATTTAGATTCAAGCACAAATACCTTAAGAGTTAAAAGAAATTGAAAGTAGCAGAAACCTTGTAAATTTTTTACAAACAACAGCTTACGTAATACTAGCAGTAAAACTAATAACAAATAATATGATAATATGAAGAAAATTCGATTCTGCTAGATCGGAAAGTAAGTACTAACACTCCACGGTATATATTAGCATCAACCTAATGCTTCAAATCGAGTCTTATCGGCATACGTATAGTGTGTTTTTACAATGTGATTTGTACCAATAGAGAATCAAATACCCTTTTTACTGGAAAGGAGGCATTTCATTTTAGGGAGACAAAGATTCTGCAAGTTGTTTCTTAATCGAAAATAGATGTAGATGTCTATGGACCGCATCGTCCACTTACCATCAGGAAGATTTTGTGCTTGTTTGTAACCCTTATTGTATAAAATAGTGCAAACTTCAGACAAAGAAGGACTGAAGACTAAGACTTTCAGATCTTCAGACCGGAACAAGGCAGTGCAAGCACTATTATGTATTTGGCGGCAGAAATACGTAAGTGAGTGGTAACTACCTAAGAGAAGAAAGGGAAAAACAGTCCTACCTTCTAATACTATGGTATATTATACTATATTCCTAATACTAAAATATTTCTAAAAAAATTCTAATAAATGAATATGGTATTTGCAGCAAATAAAATTTCCTGACCGATGAATAGAACCAGTGTCAAATTCGAGAAAACTCTGCGACCACGAACCCCTCTACCAAGCGTGGAAACTTCTTCAAATCCCTATATATCCCTATACTAGAGGATATATTTAAAAAAGGTCTTTCAGTCTGTGGACAGTTTACTCATCATCATCATTACAGCCCTTCACAAGTCCACTGCTGAACATAGGCCTTCCCCAAGGAATGCCACAAAGCACGGTCCTGAGCCACCTACATCCTTCGACTTCCTGAATGTCTTACCAGGTCGCCCTACACTTCGCCTACCGGTACGAGGCTACCACTCAAGAACCTTGCTTCCCCATCGGTTGTCGGTTCTTCGAGCTATATGGCCGGCCCACTGCCACTTAAGCTCACTAATCCGTTGGGCTATGTCGGTCACTCTGGTTCTACTGCGGATATCCTCATTTCTAAGTTTATCACGCAGAGAAACTCCGAGCAAAGCCCTCTCCATAGCTCGCTGAGCGACCTTGAGCTTCCTCATACGGCCAGCAGTGAAGGACCACGTCTCAGATCCGTAAGTCATCACTGGCAACACGCACTGGTTGTATAATTTCGTTTTAAGGTTTTGAGGAATGTCTGACGAGATGATGTGTCGTAGTTTCCTGAACGCTGCCCAGCCGAGTTGAACCTCTCGGTCGAAGTTGGACTTACCTAGTCGGACTATTTTTCCCAGGTAAACATACTCGTCAACAACTTCGAGCTTAGTGCTCCCAACAGCTACCGGCATAGGTGTGACATGGACATTGAACATGATCTTTGTTTTGTCCATGTTCATCTTAAGAACTATCCGTTGGGAGACACTATTGAAGTCATTGAGCATGGTGCTTAGATCCTCCAGCGATTCTGCCATAAGAACTATATCGTCGGCAAATCGAGGGTGAGTGATGTACTCGCCATTGATGTTGATACCGTATCCTTTCCAGTCCAGAAGCTTGAAAATGTCTTCCAATGCAGCGGTGAAAAGTTTCCGGGATATGACGTCACCCTGTCTTACACCTCTCTGCAATTGGATAGGTTTCGTACTCTGGTTCTGTACTCGGATAGTAATCGTAGCCCTACTGTACAAGCACTTCAGCACTTCGATATACCGATAGTCAACTTGGCACCGCTGAAGGGACTGCAGCACCGCCCAAATTTCTACGGAATCAAAGGCTTTCTCATAGTCCACATACGCCAGACATAGTGGCAAATTGTACTCCTCTGACTTCTGCACAATTTGGCGAAGGGTATGTATGTGGTCTATGGTGCTAAAGCCTTTTCGAAAACCGGCTTGTTCGGGAGGCTGGAAGTCGTCAAGTCTGTGCGCGAGACGATTAGTAATGACTCTCGAAAACAACACGTAGACGCGGCTCAGAAGGGAAATCAATCTGTAGTTCTTCAAGAGAGCGTTGTCACCTTTCTTGAAGGACAAGACCACCGCACTTCTGCTCCACGCCTCCGGTGTAATGCCACCATGGAGGACGGAATTAAAGAGCCTCTGAAGGACTTCAAGTACCGGTTTTCCACCCGCTTTCAGAAGCTCCGCTGTAATTCCATCCACGCCTGGGGCCTTGCCGTTTTTAAGGTGCTGGAGAGCCATTCTAATCTCGCTCAGACTGACGTCCGGGATATCTTCGAAATAGTGTCAGATAAGACTCGCTCTTGGATCGTTACCCACACTTGCATGTGGCTCCAACGATGACGTGTACAGCTGCCTATAGAACCTCTCAATCTCACTCAAAATCTCAGGTCCCCCTGAAACGATGCTGCCACACTCGGTCTTTAGCTTTGACAGTTGGCTCTTTCTGGCAGACAGATCTCTGGCAAAGACTTTGGAGCCTTGGTTCCGCTCGATCGCTTCTTCAATACAAGCTGTATTGAAGTTGCGTAAGTCCCGCCGCATGCATTTGGAGATCTGTCTGTTCAGTTGCCTGTATGCTGTCAAATCTGTTGAAGAATGTAGCTTAATCTCCCGTCTAACAGCCATGAGATTAAGAGTGTGATCGGAGAGTTTTTGTGTTCTTCTGCGGTGGGTCTTGCAGAACTTAGCTCTGACGACATGGACAGTTTCCACGAGCTTGTCATTAATATCGTCCACTTCATTGCAGTTTTCTAGGCACTGAAAACGCTTTTGTAACTCAAGCTGAAAGGCTTACGAACGGACGCAAAAATAAAAAATGTAATATTTTTACATGTTATAGGCTGTTATGAATATACATGGACTTAAAATATATACTGGCGTATAAATATATGAATGTATGAATATATATAAACATAAAATATTTATAAATATATACATACATTCATTATAGATTCATACCACACTATAAAAAACCACAGCTAAACATAAGCCTCCCCAAAAGATATCCTCATCGGGAGAATTTTGCTATTGTTGCCACGGTTGGTATCCGGTTGGCAACTGCAGTTTATTATTACTGTGAGTTGCAGAAAGATGCTGCTGCCCATCTCCTGTTTCAGTTTCCCTGTCACCTCATACGACATTCACTGGATGATTTATGGCAGTGGACACCGCTAATATACGGTTCTAAATTTAAGTATAAAATTAATACTTATATTTAAATCGAATATTTAGTAGAAAGTTTAACATTTTATTATGTATTTTCAATATTATGTAAGAATAAATTATTACGGCTTAACCCATAACTTGCCCCATACTACAAAATGTTAGCTTGCAGAGAATGCGATTTCAGTAGGTATTAAGTTCGCCTTTGTATCTAAAAATCTTTAAGTACATATATTTGCGTATTCATATGAATAAATTCTGTATTTATACGGAAATTAATAAAATAAGTAAATTTCCTCTAAAATTTCTTAAAATCTTGATGGCCATATTATATACAGATGTATCTTTGTAAGTATGAGAAAATATAAAAGTTTCGAGTTCATGGATGCTGTCTGAGCTTGACGGACTTTTTATTCATATTTAGTGGATAAATAAAATATAGATGCACTGTTTCGTTTTATATTATGCACATAAACTAAGAAGTGTTTATGGTTTCTAGACAACTAGATATATTAAAACTACTTTTTAAATTACCTCGCATTGTTGCTGTTGAGGGTTGTGGCTGTTGTTGAGTCTCTTCAGCAGAGCGGTGGCGGGGAGGCGGCGCACGGCGTGGCGATAATGCCAGACCCGCAACACTATCCGCCATGCCAGCCACGTACTGACCGATCGATGATAGAAAACTCATTTTGATATCACTTATACCGCACACATTTGTTTAAAATAAATAATTCACTAAATTTTACAAACAGCGAACTAAACGACTAATCACTGCTCACACATACTTCAACCGTCTAATTTCTCAATAAAACTGTAGAAGACGAATGTACCTGAAATGAAAAAATATTTTTAATTCAAGCATTAAAATTAACACAGCTTAATGAACTAGCTGCTCGCCGGTATACCTTTATAATTGTAAGTTTACAATTGAATTTCATTTCAACAACCTAATGATATGAAATTCAAGTGCTAATAATACGATATATTTCTGCCTTGAAATAATCGCCTTTTCATCTTCTTTGTTAAATGAAACTGCTATAAAGCAGTTTAGATTTTCATATAAAATAAACAATAGGTAGACGTGCTACTTTAAAAATAAACTTTTTAAAGTTCTACCAACAGTTACATTTGAAGACTATTAGTAAGCCGAAGATAACTTGTCCAATGATTAAACGAAATTAATTAACGTGATATAAAATAAAATGTATATTTACAACTCTAAACTAATGAGTTTGATCAAGTTGGCTGCTTGGACGCCGCACAAAACTTTTTCAATATACTTTTCCCATTTATATCAATTAGATCTTCTGAAATGCTTTTAGCGTTTACAGTTTCGAAACGTTTAATGGTCAGCTTTTAAAAGCATTGTAATGAATTTTGGTTTCTGTCTACGACAGTATTTTACTAATATTAATATCTAATAATATTGCCGAATATATAATACTATATTGCTGGTAGTGCTTATTAAATAAATTATTTATATTTAACAATAATATCTCTAAAATTAATTTTTTTTTTGCTTATGATAATTAATATTAAAAATTGTATCAAAATACAATAAATTAATATTGTTGTAATTTAAAATGCGCTATATAATACTAGTATCTTTTGTTCTTTATTTAAAAAAAAATTCATTAAATATTTTATAGTTATTCATAGTTAGTAAATTAGCAGTGCCTGCATAATCTGTTAGGGATTTTCATTTCAGAATCCAACCACTGAAATTAATTTAAGTAAAACATTTAGGTCTTCGCTACATTTTAAGGCATATTCTTGCAACCTTATTGTATGTAATAGCGTAGCACTATTTATTATGTGGTAATAGACACTGTATGTACGTAGGTTAAGTACCAAGTGCCGTTGATGAAGCATGGTGTACTGATAAACCTTGTTGGGTTTTTGCGACACCGTGTTTTAATCAAATATAAGCTTTCATTTTATTAATAAAAATATATATATTTTTTTTTTATTTACTGTTACTTTTATTTTACCATTTCCAATCCATTAGATTATTACTCATCTACACACTATTTCGTATCATTATTTATCTAGAAATAAAATATAATGCTGTTTTAAATATTGCCATAAAAGCAACAAAAGGCAGAAGTGATAAATATTGCCATACTACGAAGAACTTTTTAAATTTCAAAAATATATTGCCAAATAATATCAAGTGCAGAAGCACGAGCGTATACCCCACCCCGGAATTGGTTTTTAGTTGCTATAAAAGTCCGGCTGCTCCTACTTCGTACTTGGGGCCATTCCCAAAGAGTATACTAATCATTACATTTAACTATTCCACTAAAGCTTCGGTTACACATAGCGAATACTCGCTGCGATTAGACACTCGTAGCGAGAATTCGCTATATGTAACAGACTATTCGCTGCGTTTAGATTCATTCGCCGCGAGTTGAATTCGCTTCGAATTTAATTAAACATGTTCAATTTCACTCTCCGCGAATGAGCACTCGCAGCGAGAATTCGCTGTGTGACAGGATACTCGTTGGGAGTAACCATTCCGCTCCAGATTACACGCCTGTGCGTAGGTCGTTTCGTTGCTGCATGATACGTGTGTGTAGTCCAATCAAATGAGTTAATCGATAAATTTTCTAAAATTGGAAAATTACGATATAATTCGCTTCTTGGGTGTGTATAGAAAAATGGGGAGCTGTGTGATACAAATAACAGTAATTTTAAAAAAAGCAAAGTAAGGCGCCTTCATTGTTTAACGAATTAATTAAATAGGGATTCGAAATAGCAACCCAAGAGCAATTGAAAAGAAAATTTAAGAATATAAAAGATACATATTATAGATAATTCTCGTGTAGTACTCGCTGTGTGTGACAGGCCGACAGCGAATTGTCGCTGCGAGTACTATTCGCAGCGAATACACTCGCAGCGAATATTCGCTGTGTGTGACCGAAGCTTAAAGTTGTTCGATCAAATAATTTGTTTATCGTGATTCTGTTGTATGGCTCTTGTGAACTTTGTGGTTATTATTTTATTTTATATTTGTGAACATTGTATTCACTTTTAATTGGTCACTGTGTTCTCTGTTTTATAACGTAAGGTCTTTATCAAACTCATGCCTGTCACCCAGAGGGGTAGGCAGAGACTACGAACTGCTATTTGGGACAATCCTGACACACTTTTCTCGCCTCCTTTACATACATATACCTACGCAAACATTCTCATCGGGGGGAACTCTTAATCTAGCCTACCTTCAAGATATCACCAATTTGGTCGATAAACTTTCGACTAAGCCGTCTGCCGGCTCAGCCGTTCATTTGTGCTACATAAATTTGCTTTGTCACTTTTTCCTCTTTTCTTAATCATGATCACAACATCATCTTGCAAATCACTATTTTCTCTTATCACACAATTTCTCACCCTTTCGTTCAGATTCAAACTCCTTAATGACCGCATTTCAGTTTTTATTCTACTCTCGTGCTTCTTCTACGACACCCAACTTTCACTACCGGATACGTATTTTAAAACTCTTGTACAAATATCATCACAACCGGTACTGTTTATATTTTTAAGAGATTTTATAGCTTTTTCTATGCCAAATGATGTTGTGGGTGGAATAAATATTGAATTAGGATTGTTGAAAGTTAACTTATATGGTTTATCACTATTTGGGCGGCCTTTATTTATTTTGTTGGTATAGAAATTATACATATGTCCTAGCTTTGAGATTTGGTTTAGGCGAATGGAACTTTGTATAGAGCATGATGGAGAATATTTTAAAAAGATGTAAAATAAATATTAATAGTATCTAGAATACTTTTTGTATATCTCAAAACTTATTGAGTGACCTACGTAATAATCCAGGGGGCCAGGTTCAGGATTATAGGGTAGGTGTGGCAAAATTTCGAAGCCAACCTTCTGCAGGGCAGCCATCACAACATGGCACTTGTGAACAGGCGCGTTGTCGTGCAGAAGAAGGATTCCTTTGGTCAATTTTCCCCTTCTTTTCTCCTTTATGACTCCCTAAATTGTTTTAGGATTGAAGCGACGTCACTTTTGGGTTATGAAGACATCTTTATCTTTATAATTAATCAATAGGATTCCTTCTGAGTCCCAAAAGACTGTCACAGGTTCATAATAGTGAACCCAAGTTTCGTCACCAGTAAATATTCGAGCCAACATTCCATCTTTGTCTTCCATACAGAGGTCCAAATATACACGAGAACACTCCACGCGCTGTTGCTTATAGTTATTACATTAGTTATTATATATAAATATTAGTTAGTTATATAACGGATCCTCAGTTATATCACTATCAACAATAATTTTACTAATTACTTCTTCTTTTGTGCTATTTTTGTATTTATTTGTCACTTGCCAGGTAGTTTCATATTTAATTTGTGCTGTGTTAATATAGTAATTATTTTGCGACTTTTGGGTAAGCTTGATAATTTTTTTAGACATTGGGAATACTCTTTTAATATAGTTTTATTCTCTACGCTGCGTTTTTTATATATTGCCATAATTACTGTCGGTTACGCTTAGTACATATTTTATACCATTAGATAACCATTTTGTTTGTTTTCGTGAATAAACTTTAATTTGAATGCCAGGATAGCATATGCGAAAGAGAAGGGTGAACAAGTCATGAAATTGGTCAAAAGCAAGATTAGGATTTTTTTCCTTATAAACCTCGTCGAAAGTGAGAGAGCTTAAATATCCGTTAAATTTGTGAAGATTTTCTACATTATAATGGCGTCTGCTTATATGCTAGTAATTAAGATATTAGCTTTGCTTGACTGGGCATATCAACAGTTGTGCCGTATGATCTGACAAAGCTAAGTCATAAATATTGCTCTTACACCCTTGAATATTGTGAACAATATTGTCGATACATGTACCACTAATTAGTCGTGTAGGTACTTTTTTTGCTGTTTTAAGATTATAACTTGTTATTAGTTGTATACAATTTATAGAAATTTTGGTTCCATCTAATATATTTATATTAAAATCTCCACAAATTATAATTTTATTATTATTATTATTGGGGTATCTATAAAGTTTTCTCATCTGGTTGGGCAGTATAAATATATAATTGTAAATGAAAATGGTAAACATACATAAATATGAATAAAATAAAATAAATACATAAAAAATACATAAATATATAAAAACCCAACCAGATGGAAGCCCTCGGCAGGGGAGACCAGACGGCCGAGGGTTAGGGGGAAAGGGAAAGAAACCGGCGGACGATGCGGGCGGTATCGAGGAGCACCGCCTTCTGCATTTGAGCCTGGAGCGGTCCGTCACGGAGTCCCAGCCGCCTCAGATGACCCGGGAGGCTGACTGGGATTAACCCATTCGCAGAAACGACCACAGGAATAATTTCGGTCGGCAGACCACCCCACATGCCGGTAACCTCGTGAGCCAGGTCCAGATATTTTGTCACCTTATCTGTTTCGGCTTTCACGAGGTTCTCGTCATAAGGAATGGTAATGTCGACCAAAAAGATCCTTGACTGTGCCCGGTCCATCAGCACAATATCAGGCTTATTCGCAAGAATAGTCCTGTCTGTGATGATGGCCCGGTCCCAGTAGAGCCTGGCGCGGTCATTTTCGAGCACGGCTTCCGGCAAGTACTTATAATACGGCAGTTTCCGATCCACGAGGCCGTATTTCAGAGCGAGCTCCTGGTGTAGAATCCTGGCTACTAGATTGT